AGAAGGCTAGGGCCAAAATGTTGGCTTTCCTTGTATCCCTCCTTTTTCTCTAATTTTGGTCTGCAAACTTAGGCTGTTAACCATCCAGAAGAAAAGCTTATTGTTATTATCAAACGATTTGGGCTATCAATCTTAACCTCACTATCTCCAAGTGAGTATACTTTTACATAAAAATTCCTTCCTGTATTTCCCAGGTCCTGCTACTGAGATAGCTAGCTACTGTTATGCTAAATTACAAATTTACAGTAGAAGAGTATGGGATAGGTGGTTATAACCCAATGTTACGCCTACAGGTTTCTAAGTATCCTTTATTTGACTTGAAGTGAGCAGTGATTGTATGTCTGCTGTATGATTGAAAATTTTTCTGATATATTTTATTACAGAAGGCCTTACGACCGGATATGGGCTATAATACATTAGCCAACTTTCGAATAGAAAAGAAAATTGGTCGTGGACAATTTAGTGAAGTTTATAGAGCATCTTGCCTCTTGGATGGAGTACCAGTAGCTTTAAAAAAAGTGCAGGTAAGATCATTAATTATGTAAATCAATTAAAGATTGTCCTATATGAAAAATAGAGAAAGGTATTTCTGGAATGATTGGGTGATGATAAGAAGGCTAGGAGAGAATGAGCTTTGTATCTTAAAAGCTTGAATGAGATAAGAATTGTTTGGGCAGTTTTCACCCATGTCCAGCATGACTTGAATGATCCTACAGAAGCTTTCATAGCTTTTTGATTTTTCAGGGGCAGATTGAGTCACCATTAGATCTAACTGCATATTTAAGTAAATAATTGGATCTTCAATCAGATCTGGATCTGTTGGTGTCACAAGAGGAAACTAGAATCACAAAATGTATTATCTGAAGATAATAAGTGACATTTTTCAGTAGCAATATCTGAAGAGGAAAATGAAGTGAACTTCATTTACTTGGGGAGAAATGAGGTAGATAGCATTAGGTAATTTACTGTATACTTGGTATTATCAAACAGGAAGAAAATACTCAATTGGGAAGGGGAACGTGGAGCAGAGAGGAAGGGAAAAGAAAAATCACAGGAAAAGAAGGAAGAACTGGATAAAAAAACTTTAGTAAATAAGGAAGGGTAGAGGGATTGGAGGGAGGGTAAGGGAACAAGGGATAAAAAGATAAAATAAGTGTCATTCAGGTAAAAGTCACTATAATGAAAGTGATCAGTATATATATCCAACGTGTACCAATAAACTTAATTTAAAAAAGTAGTGAACCCCAAAACAAAAAACTCCTCCATTTTTGTGTTAGTATCCTTGTGGTATCATTTTGTTTTACAATCTAGACTCTTTTCTGTCTTTTAAAATTTGTTTCTCTTTCCCAACTTCTTTTCACAAGTCTTGCCTTTACCCTAGTCTGGTCACACTTTTAAACACGAGTTTCTGGGATGTTTACCTATCAGAACCATGTCAAGTTTCATTACCCTAACAAGATCCTTTGGTCTACAAATTACTTACCTTTCTGTCTTGGCATATCTTTTGTCTTACAGTGTTTGTATCCCTTTTTCAAGTAATGTCCTTAAATTGCTAAAGTGATTAGTGTATTTACAATTGCCATTACAGAGATGAACATTTATTAATATTTTTAAAGTGAAATATTAAGTATTTATGAGTTTATGCTATATGTAAATAATAATAGAGAATTGTTCTTATCTACAACCCAGTTTAAGAAATAAACATTGTATATATTCATATATGTAAATAAACATTTAAAATAATTTTCATCAGTACTGGGATTGAAACCAGGGCCTTCACATTGAAGTCTGTCTCCCCCATCCCAAGACAGTCTCTCATTACATCACCGAGTCATCCAGAATGAGCTCAAATCTCCAATCTTTATGTCTTTACCCTCCTTGAGTGCTAAGATTATAGACAAGTGCCACTATGCCCAGATCCTAAAAGCATTTTGATTGGCTGCTCTCTAACCATATCCTGAATTGATTTTTAATCATTGCTGTTTTTATTTAAAATTTTCCAGTGTCTGTATGAATTTCAAATTATAAAACAAATCGCTTCTGTGTATATGAATGTAGCATGCATATACAAATGCATTTATACATTTTTTTTTATATATGTGTAAGTTTGCATTTTTCACGTAGTGTCGTGTCAGTCCATGTTGGTTCATGTGACCTTTTCACCAACTTAAGTAATTCATTTATTCTTGCTGCTTGCTATATAGGTTGTTAATTTTTGCTTGCTTGTGGAAACAGTGCTTACATGGTATTCTTGTGTATCTTATGTGTGAAAATGTCTCATTTGTTCCTAAGAATGGAGACTTTAGGCATAGGACATGCATATGTACCACAAGATACTACATAGTTTACAAGTTTAGGAGCAGCAAATAAGAACTGTAACCTTTTTTTCTAATATGCTACTTAGAGTTTAAGAAAATACAATACAAAAGGTAATTAAAAATGTTTTTGACAGATAAGTTTTAGAATAATAATTTTCCTTCTACAGGACTCTTTTGGTCTTTTTGAGACAGGGTTTTACCATGCAGTTCAGACTGGCTTTGAACTCAATATGTGGTCGAGGGGGTCCTTGAACCTGTAGCAGTCTTCCTGCTTCAGCCTCCTATAAATGTAAGATTTTTATTGTGGAATTACTACAATCAGGCAGAGGTGGTATTACAGGTGTGCACCACTACATCTGGCTTTAAATTCATTTTAAAAACATTTTTTAAAAATTTATTTTAAAACCTTATTTTAGTTGTTGTTTGCAGTACATAATGTTGACATTCCATGTGTGGAGTTGGTGCATGTATAGTACTATACAAATCTTAATTCTTTTCTTCCTCTTTCTCTCCATTTCTTCCCCATCCCTCCGTTTCTTGATCTCCTTTCTTTTTGAGAAAAATCTATTGACCTGCTCCATGTTATCTCTCATTTTGCTCTTTGTTGATAATTTTTTTTTTTTTTGCGGAACCAGGAATTGAACTCAGGCCCTTCAGCTTGCTAGGGAAGCACTTATTCCACTGAGTCATCTCCTTGGCCCCAAAGTTTTATTTTATTTTATTTTTTGGCAGAACCGGGGATAGAACTCAGGTCCTTGTGCTTGCCAGGGAAGCGCTTATTCTACTGAGCCATCTACCCGGCCCAGATACTTTGTGTTTTGCTTAAGTTTGTGGTCTGATTTATTTCACTTAAGTCCATCCATTTTTTGTACACGAGTCAACTTTATCCTTCTTTATGGCAGAGTAATACTCCATTGTGTGTCATGTATTTATGAGTAATGAGAGAAATAAGCAAGTAATAGTATATCTGTCAGCCAGGTTTAAAAAGACTGTCTAAAAGGATGATCTGTTAAATCCTGTGGCATAGATTTCTGATTTAAGTAAGAGCTTAAATAAGAACGGAGATGTCAAGTGAGCCATTGGAATTGGTGGAATTGGAATTCGAGTCAAACTATAAATGTAAGATTTTTATTGTGGAATTACTACAATCAGGCAGAGGGATTTGGGCTGTAGACAAATAAGCATTCACTGTAGATTCTAAAGTAAGATAAAAATCTTCAGATTTCATTATTTTCAAAATAAGGTTACAAACTGCATTACAAAATGTATTAAAGAAAAGACAATTACCCCTTTCCCAGAAGTAGAAATAGTCCTCAGGAGAGTGGATTGATTGTGAAATCCAGGGCTTTCTTGTCACGTCTGCTTTTTCATAAATTGGAATGGAAAGAGCCTTCTGTCTCTAGTGATTTTTTTTTTTTAATTGCAGACCTTGTTATTAGTAATAGAAAAGTGAAGGAAGAAGGGAGAAAGTGATTTTGATTTGTGTTTGCTACTCCTTTTTATCAGAAGTAACCGTATCTTGAATTTAGTTATCATTGCTCTTCTGGGTTTCTTAGAATTCCATCTGAGTTATTTCTGCTTGCCTATACTTTTCTTCCCATTGATCAGATGGCTAAAGAGGCATGATTTAATTTGGACAGTTGCATTTCCATTCAGTCTTAAATGTCCCTTCTGAGCTCTTTTTAAAATATTGTTAAACTTTTATTACTACCTGATGGCAGTGCACAGTGACCACATTCATGCTGGGGAGTTGGTGTGTGTATGTGACATATCTTATTATCTTCCTTTTCCTGTTTTTTCTCTCTCTTCTCTATCTCTTGGTCCCCTTTCTAGTTCCAAAATGTATCTCCCTGTTTCCTAAGATCTTTGCTCTATAAATTACTTATACTTTGAATTTATCGTATCATACATTGTGTTAAGCCTGAAATTGCTATGGGGCCAGGGAATGTAGTGCAATAATAAATGGCTCGCTTATATGCATTAGGTCATGTGTTTGGCCCTGCAGCACTGCAAGAAAATAAAAATAAAAGAAAAAGAAAAGCTTTCATAAGTCTTTATATTCTGCCTGCTGTGGTGGCATATGTCTGTGACTTCACAACTCTGGGAGGCTGAGGCAGGAGGATAGCAAGTTTGATCCCAGCCTGGGCAATCTAGTAATTTAGTGAGACCCTGTTTCAAAATAATAATTTAAAAAAGACCTTTAAAAAGTGGATGGTGGGGCTGGGGAGATGGCTCAGTAGAATAAGTGCTTCCTTGGCAAGTGCAAGGGCCTGAGTTCAATCCCCAGTGCTGTCCCCCCACCGCCCCCCCCCCCAAAAAAAAAGGATGGATGGGATGTAACTCATTATGAAGGCCATGGGTTTTATTTCTTATCTTTGGGGGTAAATATTATAGAAAGTTAAGCTGCTGTTATTTATTTATTTATTTATTTATTTATTTATTTATTTTTTGTATGACCTCTCTTCAGTTGTAGTATTGTGGCCACTTCTCATTTAAATATTCTTTATAGAAGAGAGAAATGATGCTGTAAAGCTATAGTTACATTTAGTTAGGGAAGAACATCTTAAGTCTTTGTGAGGAGAAATTTATTTGCATTTCAAACATGTATTGATTCTTGTGATGTGTTAAACTTGTGCTGAACAAGAAAGCCCATGGTTGTTGCTTTTTTAAAAAAAAAAAAATTCATCTTTGCAGTTTAAATGAAAATCTTTTAAAGTACTGTTAATAAGATGACTTTCCTTTTTGAAGAATTCTAACCCAATTCTTAAAAATTCCTAAAGAATCAGATATTGAGTTTAAAAAAAAAAAACAAAACTATTTTAGAGCAGTGTTACTTGTCTCAAGAGCTATGTTGCTGTTTTCAGCTCTGCTGGGATCCTTCCTGGATAGTTTGCTTGAGTTCCTATGATAAAAGTGTTGCATTTGAAGTTTACTTTTTGCTTACAAATCTTAAATGAAAGAGTTTAGAACTACCATCCAGATTCCAGCTTAGTTTTGAAGGCCTTTCCTTACTTTGTCTCTTATCATCCAGTTGATGAACTCAGGGCTTTAGTGGATGAATGTACAGGTACCAACTTCTCGCAAGAAATTCTGACTACCAGCTTTTTTCTCCTGTCTCTCTCTACCTTCTTCCCTTTAGTACTTCCCTTCTGGTTGAGTGCTGTGTTGATTCCATCGGTATTTATTGATCATGTAGTGTTTCTTGG